CCGTAAGTGAAGTAGGTTGATTCCAGGCACAGTTTGAGGAGCTGGCACACTTGTTCTGTGGAAAGTGTGGTTCTGCTGCTGAGAGATTCAAAAGCCTGAATTTAGCCTGAAACTCTCAGACTGAAGAAGTCTCTTGGAAGAGAGACGAAACGTTTCATTAAAGAAGAACCCGTCCAGAGGACCTATACAATTTTTTTCCTTTTGATATCTGATTAAGCTATTAAACTTAAGTTTCAAATTCCTATGTTTCATGGCTCATTATTTTAATTTTCTATAGGAACTTGTCCTGATGCATCTCAATAATCAAGGTAGAAATTTTCTTAAAAGTTAATTAAATAATAGAAAAATATTGAACGGATTAATCACCTATCAAAATTAGCTGCGGCCCTACCATTTAACTTGGGCTGATGTATAAAGGAACAGATTTACATAATAAAAGCCTTAACCACATGAACACAGACTTTTGTTTTCATAACTTAAACACTATCAAGCAGAAATGTACAGAAAACATTTAAAATGTTAAAAACTTTCATAGAGACAAGAACACTCTGACCAGGTGTATTTATACCTGGGATGGCGTAGAGGGCTCTGCTGTCATCATGGTTGGCCAGAAATGTGACTGCTTCTGTCTGAGACCTCTGAGACTAAAAAGCACAACTCAATCACATGTCTGAAGAATAACAAACTAATTAACTTTAGATTACACATGTGAAAAAACAACATTTCTACTAACTGTGAACACATTGTGTTTAAGTCTGTCAGTGCCTTCATTTATCAAGATGGCAGAAAACCATTATAAACACCATGAGCAAATAAAAAAGGAAATGGTGGTAAAAGTTGGCTTGCTGCGTGTGATTTATTAAAACTGCGAGCCCAGATCATCACAGGTGCAGCGGCGGTGAGGACCGCCCTGTTGAAATGAGGAGTGTTTCACTGAGGTAAACCAGACAGAAATCACTGTTACAAGGAGTTTTATTTATTTTTAATAGAACAGAGGTCTACAACCCGCCGCTCTAGAGCTGCACGACTCTTTTTAGCCTTGAAAAAAAGTACTTATTAGTTTAATTTTTATTTGTTTTATTACCATTTTTGTTGCACAGTTATCTTAAATGTTGATGTGATACTTTAACGTCGACTTTAATAAGATTTTAATAATTTGTCAACTAATTCAGGCATCACAGCAGACAGATCTCCTGCAGCACGAGCTGACCGACAGGTGCAGAGAAGTAAGCTCTCGTTTTCACTGTCTTAAAGATTAAAAAAAACACACAATCACATTAATTGTGAATACTGCCAATGTGCAAAAATAGTAATGCAGGCTGCATTTAATGAAAAGTTCAGAAAAATACATAAAAAGTAAAGGCATCTTTTGCAGGTTCTCAAATCTTAAAAAATATATGAAGGCAGTTTAGCATTAATTAAAAATTAGTCTACGTTTTAAAGCTGCAGTGTTTTGGTTAAAGTGGGCTAAATTTATATTATGCTTAGTTCAGATTCACTTTATAAAACATCTGATACATTGAATAAGGGCTACAAATCTGATCTGGGCCACATTTGTCTGCAGTGTGAATGCAACCTAAAAGAAAGGAGAAAAGGAGTTGTTGTGATGTAAGGTGATTAAAAAGAAAATGTGTTAAATTTATTTTAAAAAAGGACAGATCTCCAAATGGTGTAAAAGAAACAAAACTTAAAATGTGAACAATTTCTTAAACAGAATATTGAATATAGATACAATAAAAATTGTAAGAGAAATTATAGCAATAACATATACATCGCTGTACACAGATTTGTAAACTTTAAAAAAAAAACAGATTATTTGAAATCCAACGTCTTTTCTATATTATTATTGCACTAACTGCTCATGCAAACCTAATATTTTGTATTTATTGTAAAGCCTAAAAGGTGTAAAGTAATTTAATAAGATTTTTGTTAATTTGAAAAGTTTTACAGGTCAAAACTCCTGAGTACATTTAAATAGGCTAAATTTAAATAGAAAAAAGAAGTTGTTCATTAAAACCAAATTAAAACAAAAAAACCCTCTTCATTCAGCTAACTGCTAATGTTTTGAAAGGATCAAATATAAAAACATAACTCACTATGTGCGGACAGTCTCTGGTGTCGATCAGGACCTGGTAGTAGGTGTGAGTTTTTCCTTTGACCTCCTTGGAGCCGTGGGTTATAAGAGGCTCAGATTTGCTAAACGAGGAGAAAACATTGATTTATTTCAAAATCACAACACAAAACCACAAAATGGTAAATAGAGTGGAGCTTTCGGGCACCGTGGGTTGTAACAGTTTACCTGTCGGACACAGGTGGGGTGATGTCTCGGTCATAGAGACGGGCGTGCCAAGGAAACAAGACGATACCTCTGTAACCAAATACACTGTGGAGAAACAGCTGAGAACAAAATGAAAAATCATTCTGAGTAGGCCTGTCACGATAACAAATTTTGCTGGGTGATTAATTGTCTCACAAATTATTGCGATAAGCGATAATATTGCCTGGTGACCATTTTACAATTAATAATTATAAAAGCATAATATGTAAGTG